GCTTCACAAATGAACGATAACTACCGGTTAACCACAATTCTAGCTGTGAGCTGTCTTGCAGGGATGCTTGTCAACGCTTTGCGCCACTATCAAACAGACCGCTTGTCAAGCGGTCAACACGAGCCGACAACAAGTACGTGTGACACGACGATCTCCGATTGCCTCGGTTGCTGGGGTAACCAACAACGGATGCTTGAAATCGCCGACGAGCTTTAAGAGCGAAATACACAACACAAGCGAATTGACAAACCAAGCCAAATATTCCTTTGCTTCAATCTTGCTTGGACGAGTCATGTTTGCATGGTGTGTGGCAAAATGGGAAAAGTAGGTTTAAATCTTGGGTTTGAAGTATGTTTGTCAAGCCGGTTGCGTGGTGTATTTCGCTCTATATGGAACTGTACGATAGCTTGAAAGTACTCTCTACGATAATCACTTCACTTTTCCTCCAAATCAATACGAAACTTCGAACTTTGGTTGTTTTAAATGTTTTCGAAAATTAAAACGGCAACACTGCTGGCTGCGCTGTCAATTTTCGCAATAAAATGAATATGCAAGCAATTGCCGGCTAACTGGCATATTATAGTTTTCTCTTTCAAGCTCACGTGTTTCGAAGGGAGTTCGTTGGCTTGCAAAAATCTGCAGCCAACAACAACTCCGACAATCTCAAACAACAAAAGCGAAGGCGAGAAACAGTTTTTGATAATTGAGAAAAGGAAGAGGAAGGTCTGTAAAAACGAATAAGTAGAGAAGCTGAAGAAAAGAAAAATCAAATTGCCTGCCTGATTGCTGTCTGTCTTACTTTCGTTTGTTGGAAGAATTTAAGACTTTTTGTGGTTATTTCGTATAACTTCGCAATAAGAGAAAATTTAAGGAATTCTGTAATACGGAGCTTATATAAAAAGTGAAATTTGTTGGAGAACAACGGTCGCGAGTCGCAGTGATTCTTTGTGAAGGCAAGTACCCAGTGGCGATATGGAAATTTTCACTAGAAGGTGCATAGTAAGGAATGCATACATTGATATGTACAGAAAGATACGAATGTAAATGCTGCGGGCGGGGGTAAGCTATGCTTCACTATTTGTACGAAGTGGAAATGAGTAGCCGCTTTGAAGGATGTGTTTAGCAGGAAATGCGTAAGGTTAAAAAGGTACGAATGGATCAGAGTTGTTCAAATCCATTCAAGAGTATTTAAAAATTTGTTGGCTGTGCCAGCTTTGTTCAATGCTTCGCACGATCATATTGCGCTGCATTTTGGTGCTGTTGGCGTCCGCCACCAATGTACACTATGAATACAGCATGGACTAGGGGAGTTTTACATGACTGCTCAATTCGCCAACGCCGTTCGTAATTGATTTTTCTTGATTTCGAAAAAGGTGGCTTTGAATTCTTTGTAGCCGATGACATGATAGTACATTTGTTTTATAACAGCAATTCGTCATCCATCCACTCACTGAACTCTGCTGCTTCTTTCTTTTCTTCGTTTCATTATTGAATTCCCAAAATGGCCGCTAAATCTACTAGCGCTGGCATAAGCAGCAATGTGTAGGGTGGACTGAATGGGCAATGCCCCTAAAGCGGATACCACCTGATGAAAAGGAGTACGTTTTTGTAGCGATTTTGATTTTTAAAATGTGTTCGTTTAATTTACACTAGCGATACACTAAACATTAAGGCAGTAAAAAGCGGATTTTTGTCCTTAACCTTCTGCGTTTTCAATTACCTTCAATTATAAAACGGGCTTCAAGGTCAAAATTTGGGAGGATACAATGCAATGGAAATTTATATGTATATAATTAGAACTATTTTATTTTTGATCAATTTATGTCTCCATTACATATATTTTAATAGGTCACTCGCCTAGCGCCACCTATTTAACTGCGATAAGTCAAGTTGAACTCGCCCAGTGCACGCGCAAGTTAACATCAGGTTACCATCGACGTAATATCTAAGCTTCCGCCTAGAGAATGTCATCAACTTCGACGGCCAGTGGCAGCGAAGCAGGCAGTGGCAGTTCAACCGCCACCGCACCGAATCCAAACAACAGCATGAACGCTAGCAGCGGTCGCGGCCGCAACAGCAACTCTGCTGGTGCTAACTCTAATAATTCAGGTGCCGGTAGCTCTAATTCCAATTCTAACAATTCGGTAAATGCTGTTGCATCAGCTGCTGCAGGTGCCGGCACTGCAGGTGAAGAGACTCGTAAAGATCCAAAACCAAATCCAAAAATCTCCAAAGCATTGGGTACCTCAGCTAAGCGCATACAAAAGGAATTGGCCGAAATAACACTTGATCCACCACCAAATTGCAGTGCTGGCCCTAAAGGTGATAATCTGTATGAATGGGTCTCTACAATATTGGGACCACCTGGCTCAGTGTACGAGGGAGGTGTCTTCTTTTTAGATATACATTTTTCACCGGAGTATCCCTTCAAACCGCCAAAGGTTACATTTCGTACGCGTATCTATCACTGCAATATAAATAGTCAGGGTGTAATTTGCTTGGATATTCTCAAGGATAATTGGTCACCAGCGTTGACCATTTCAAAAGTGTTGCTGTCAATTTGTTCCCTGCTAACTGATTGCAATCCTGGTAAGTTGAAATTTTGCATGTATTAATTATAGTATGGTTTAAAACTTAAATATCCCATTAAGAAATGAAAGTATGTATACTATGTAATCGTAAGTTGAATAGCTAAAACTGCATATTAGTTATGAGTAGATTTTAAATACTATGTAATCATTGACATGCTAAAGGGGGACTATGCTATAATGAAATTAGAAAAAAGTATGTAATGAAAAAAACCAAGCACTATTAAGAAGTTCAGCCTGGAGCACATTTTTAAGCACTTTAATTGCACCTTTGCGTAGCGCTATTTATAAACGCACCCTATTTTAGGCTAAAACAATATTAAAGTTCATAATTTATTTACCAAAAATTGTTTAACTAAATCGAAATCTATACCATATCGTAAATTTATTGACATTCTACTTCATATTGATTATACATACATTGGTTTACTAACTATCATTGTTTCTTTTTTACTTTTTAGCGGACCCTCTGGTGGGCAGCATCGCCACTCAATATTTGCAAAATCGTGAGGAACACGATAGAATCGCACGACTTTGGACAAAAAGGTTTGCCCATAACCGGGCAACAAATGTTCTTTGTAAATTTAATTTAAAAACCTGATTTTTTACAGATATGCAACATGATTTCCTAATCTTGTAAGTCCCGTCATTAAAATAAAACTATGTAACATCAGCAGCAACACAAGTAATAAAACAAAAACTGAAAAACATTTGAAACGAATAATTGCAAACATCATCCTGCAAGAGAATGATAATGGTAAAAATTATAATTTTAAAAGGAAATTATCTCTCCTAACTATGTATAACACTATATAATATATATTAGTAATTAATTATAAAAAATAATACCTTATATAACAAAACACAAAAAACATATGTAATAATTAAGCGATGTTGAGTAGGAGCAAGGGACTAGAAGCTTACATGTCATTGGCTTTTCTTATTATGATCTATTTTGTTTTTTATAAAAAACCAGACAAAGTAAGCATGACACTGGCATATTTAAAGAAATGGAAAATCGCTGTATGTATTTAGAAAATAGAACTACGTATAATTTGTGTTTTCTTTTTGTAATGAGATAAAAAAATTAAGCTAACAAACATGCAAACATACATACAAAACTTATTGCAAACTTACTAAATAAGTAATAAACCAAACCGCTGATGGTATATCAAGATAGAAACAAAACTATACAAGACGAACTGCATACAAACAGTTATTGAAACAAAATTGCAAAAAAAAAATATTCAACACAAAAAAAAATATTAAGATAACGTAAGAGCTGATAAATCTGTTTGATTAAATGTATTCTAGCTACGGAACTGAGAAGCAGGCGACAAGTTCTTGTCTTTAAATTGTAAACATAATTGTGAGCCTCAAATAAAAACTACGATAAAAATACAAAACTAAGTAGCTTTTATACTATTTTCAAGGATTACTATTATCTGTGGTCATAAGCAATAACCGCTTAAGTCGAAAAACCTGAATTCGAGAAAAAACGTTTTAAACATTTGGATTGTAATGTTAGCATTATGGGGAAACCAAAATATTCTTGCCTATAACTTTTTAAGTAGCCTAGCTGGCGAGATGGGGATTTCACACACGCATAGAATAGAGGTTGAAGATTACGATAGCATATACAACTCCATTCTTTCTTAAGTCGACTTAGGCGGTTATTGCTTGTGACCACAGTTACATACATACATGTAGTTACATGCATTTAAAATTAATTAAAAATAATGGTTTTTGGAACGAAGCGAAAATCATTCCAAAATACATGATTTCACCAAAACCAGCACCAACAATTTATTTCTAATTAACAAATAGGATGATGCCTGGTGTGTTTAGGAAAGTGTTTGCAAAGGCTCTACTTGACAATACTCCGAATGCAAGTCTATATGCATTTAACTGCCTTTCATAGATCAATCAACCGCCTTTATCTAAGGATGTAGCAAACTGGAGTCTGTTAAATTACGGAAACGGTTGGACTCGTGCCGTGTGTGATCTATTCCCTCTAGCCAGGGTTTACGCTCTCTAAGGATATAGAAAAAATAGGTACATAGGTCGTTAGTCAATCGACATAAACGGAGCAACCACTCTACGCTCTAACAGGACATCCTTAGCTCGTCTCTTCTAAAGCCGACGAAAGGGTAAAACATCAATTATCTGCGCTGTCACCTGTTGTCGGTCGAATTCCGCTACACTAAGAGCAAACCTCGTACGAATAAATAGGGGTCGTCCAAGGCTTTAAAGAAAATTTTTGGCGAAACAAGAGTGTTTGGTCGGAGATTAATCAAATTCAGTACATACAAAGAACTGTTTAGCGCGGTGTTGCCTATGGTTCGACGTCGTCGAAAGAGTACATTTCCTGGACTCACCGTCAGTTCGATTTGGTGGCAATGATTCAGGGTCAAGCAAGGCTTGATCCGGCGGCGGCATAAGTCACTTCACACCTCTTGTGCTTAAATGACCGGTTACTTGCATCTGAACGCGACGGTTATTCGTTCAACTTCATCAAATAAAAGTTAGAAGGTTTTGTCGTTACCCTGCAGGAAATCGAATTTGTTTGAACGTAATTTATAAACTACTTTATTCTCAATGATAACTAATTGAAATTCTCCCTATTTTACCTGCAACGAACTCATTTATTTAACATGGCGATGTCCTAGGAAGCAGTCAATTGGCTTTCCCTGCATGTATTTTCAACTACTTTCAAATGAATTTGGCTTAAACAACTTCAATGTCAGTATGTTTCGTTTGAATACGCTTTCGTTCTGCAATTCCCAGATGCTTTTTCATAACTAAGAAAAACCGAAATTAAAAAATTAAAATTAAATGAGATTTGAAGATGGATATTCTTGGCTGCGACTAATAGTAGCTAACATCTTTGCACGCTCAGCTACAGCCAGACATGTAAATGTGCTTTCAAATGTTCAGTGAGAATTTTGTGCAAGCAGCAAGTAATTTCAACTACTTTAAATTTGGTTTACACAACTTCAAAGTAAATATGGTTCTTTTGAATATGCTTGCGTTCTGGACTTCACAGATGCTTTTTCATACTTCCAAGACACAAATTGTTTTTTTGAGCAAAACGAGTATACAAATTCGAAACATTTACTCATTTGCATTTGTTTTAAAGTAGTCTTTCAATTAGTTGATTTAAAAAAATAACTTGTTTCCGTCAGTGTAGTTTATGACGATAGAACGAGTCCCAGAAGCATTCGGTTATAAGTAGCCGATCATTTAAGCACAAGAGGTACGGAGTGACTCATGCTACTTTCAAAAAAAAAAACACAGCTCACTTGGTTTAAGACATTTCGCTGACCTAAACAGTTAGATCGCCGAAACAACAGCATCATGTTGAACACGTACCTGAACAGTGGAGTGGGCAACTTGCCAGGACGTCGCACTCCGGAAATCGACAGCATGCCTTCTGATGTAGCCTGAACACCAGCTTCACAGCAAGACCCAAATGCTTAATCATCCTCGGTGAATCCTAAACCGAATAATAAATTTAATAATGGAGGAACTGAAAATAAATAAAACAACATAACATTAAAAAACTATAGGGCTATTCAGGATCTCGCGCAAATGCTCTTGGATTTGCATATTCGTTGCATTTATAAATTCCCAACAATAAAATGCACACGGTTGCCATTGCAGCAAGCAAATGCAATTCCAACTGCAAATCCAAGACCATTTCCACAACATCCTGAACAGCGCTTATATATTTCATGATGAATGGTATTTAACAAAGATAATGGTTGCGTTCCAGATGCTTCACGATATTCACGATTTGCAGGAACAGCTGTTTTCTCCATTAATAGACCTTATGGAAGGTGGTCACCTGGAACGAGGCATCTGGAACGCAACTAATACCTTGAAAAAGTTTGCAAGAAGTTAATCTCGTTGACTTTAGAAGCTTGAGTTGGGCACTTAGTTCGGCAAGTTTGATACCCAATGAATATGCAGCATGTGGAGATTTTCTCCAACCACCTCTTGACATGTCAGCTCGATCCCATTCAGCCGACACCCCTCTCCATTTGGTCCGACCCTATCGAAACAGCTTGAAAACGATTGATAGACAAACCGACCTAGGCTTAGTACTGCCGCTACAAAAACAACTAGAGCATTCAGCTATTCTTAAAAACATCGACTTCATGCCGGAAGAAATGGATCGGAACGTTCCGAGACTTGCCCCGAAAGAATCACTCCCTACATATATACCTCTAAGAGCTGAATGGGAGATTGGCAGCCTCTGGAATAGAGTCCAATACATACATATATTCACAGATGAATCAGAGCTTGACCACATAGTTGGAGGAGATTGTGTTTTGTCACGAACTCTCCGTAAATATCAATTTCGGGCTGCCGATGTTTTGCAGCGCTTTTAAGGCAAATGTGGCTACTATAAAAAAGACAGCCGATTGACCACGCAACACTTTATCACTGTTCACCAGGGTAGTTATCTACTCTGATGGCCAATTGAAATGGCTGCGGAATGCCTGACCAATTTATCAATCGCCTCGGAATATTTTCAAATCAAATTAATTTAAATGCAGTACACAGCGTCATTTCAGGAAATTTCAGGGCTGTTGAACTGGCTAGGTAGGTCATCTTCCAGGACAGGAAGGGCATATGCGTTCTTTTTGCAAGCTATGGACTACTCCTAGCTAGATGGGCTGACTGTCGGCTCAGCGAGCGTCGCTGGGCAAAAACCCTTACACACAAAGTTGCAAAGTCTTTGCGGGCGGTGGTCGACCGCGAGCGATCAAAGGGGCGTCTGCAGCCGGCTATGCGCTAATTCTCGATTCTTACAGGTATACTGACTAGAAAGTGCCGCCACGAGGTGAAATCATCGCCGCAACACTTCCTGCTCAGCTGCCCGCCATTCACTATATAAAGGTTCAAACACCTCTGCTCGTATTTCAACAACACAGACGAGGAACTTTCTGGAGCCGACATCAGCTGCCTGCAGAACCTCATTTTGAGCATCGAGTGCTCTTTCTAACTTCCCGCAGAAATGGTAACGCTGCTAACAATTAAAGTCGAAGTGAGCCACACGGGGGCCTGTCACCTTACCCAACCTTATCTAGGCATCAATTGATTCATGTGTTGATTTTTGAGGGATTTCATTAACTTACCTTCGTAAATATATCTCTTTATAAAAAATAACTTTTAAATAGATATTGTTTTTATAGCTATTTTATTTATTAACATTTAGTATCAGTTTATTTACTTAGTATCATTCACATTTATAAAACGTTGTTTAGTGTTCTACCAAATGTTCTTCAACAATATTTGAATGTGCTCCCCACCAAGTGCTCACTCCAACTTAAACGGCAGTTAGATTTTTTACTATATTTCAGGTATAGTAATAATCGGGCGTATTCGCGTTGGCGTTGTCATTTTTATCGTCGCTTGAACTGGCGAAGGAAAGTTAACAACAATCATTTCAATTTAATTCTTAACAATGAGATAACGTTACAATCTATGTTTCAAAATGGGTAACACCGACATGTTTCCGATAAATGTTGACAACGCCAGCGAGGATGCCAAATTGCCGTTTTTGTCTCGTTTTCAAACAACAACGCCCAGGAAAGTCGGCTCAAATATAAGAACTCAAAAATGAAGACAACCAGAGTATATAATAAGGTCCATCCAAGGAACTAAGTTATAATCTATAAATTAACTAAAATTTCAAACGAAATATATTGTTGCAAATATTTAGTGATTTTATAGCCTGCAGTGGAATCCACTTGGCATTTTTTTCACTTTCATACAAGCTAATGAAGAATGGTTTCCGGGCGAAGAGTTTTTTCCCGTTCGGAACTGTAGAATCTCTGAAGAACTCTGTTGGCCGTTATTAGTCGAGTACAGGCAAATTTAATGAAAATGCACCTCGGAAACTTTTTATCTGTGAAAGGGTAATATTATCGATTTCGATATTGGGCCGTAGGAATAAAAACTATGAAATTGCTTTTTTCTTAAAATTTCAGACTTTTTACTTAAATATGTAAGAGATCTGGCATTTTAACAAAAAGCAACTTCTTAGTTTTAATTCATATGGCCCATTTTCTAGTTACATACATACACTCTACTTTTAAAACTAGACTAAATATTTTAGTGACTAAAAATTAAAACGAAACAAAAATCGATTTAAAAAAAATCGAGAGTACTATGCTAAGTCGATATTCCTTCCCATTAGTTCGGGTCTTCTCCATACCCTATAAGCGTTATTTTGGGGTACGTCCGTTTAAAAATTCCCACACACGCTTACATTCGTATATATGTATTATTTTGATGTTCTTCTTTTGTTGTTTTACTTATTCACCACAGCCGCGCTAAACTAGTATCTTGCCGGAGTATCGGCCGTTAACATCACTCCCTCTCCTCGGCTCCTCGAGTGG